TTAGCTACATTGATTCCTTGCGATCTTGCTACGGTACGAAAACTGCAAAAACGCATAATCGCACCGACCCGCCTGGTGCGTCCCAGACTGGGTTGAATAGTGCTGCTCAATTCAAACAGCAGAAGAATGAAAAGGGGTTCTTTGATTTTGATTCAAACAGAATTTTCGAGTTTTTGGATTTAGGCATTTCTAAACTCGAAGATCAAAAACTTTTTTGCAAAAATTAATTTAAAAACAATTTATCTCGAGTCTTTTATACATGAACCTGGATCCCAAGTTTCACCCAATCTGATTTAATGTACGCAAACAAAATGGGTAAAAAACGGTACTGAGCGGAGGATGACGGAGCTACTCGCTCTTAGATCATTCCCGGAAATTAGTCGAGTGCACTGAAGCTGCAAATAACATCAGTCTGGATAAACTAGTCACTTTTGACTCCTCGAAAAGCAATTTTTTTTATCATAAACTTTTGTATCGACCTGGCACTGAAGCCCATCATTATTATTTTCCCTGTTAAATGACGCTTAAATCCGCAGTGGTTTTTATTTCGTATTTTTCAGGATCTACTCCAGCAACACTCAAAACAGTGTGCCGACGTCATCGTCAGCAGCTGTAGCAGCACCATTCGAACCAAGCGATTCGGGTAGTAACAGTAGCGTTGATTCCGGACAAGGCTCTGCCGAGTTCAGCTCCCAGAGCTTTTCATCCAGAGATCTGTTCGATTATGAAAACTCACTGGGCGCGGTTAATTTGCCAAGCTATGCACGTATGGCAAGTTGGTGCTTCAGTAATTTGGGGGAAGATTTTATTAATTCCAAGCAGCTTCTAATGCACAACGCTGAAATAGGTGCATCCAACGCCTCCGATTACCGACCGGACAATCGGTGTAGAGATCTAATACCAGTGCCTGCTTCGGGAAGGTATCCACGCAATCAAAAAAACTACCTCAGACCTTTTAGTCCTGAACTATACAATTCCAATGAATACGAACCAAATGCTTGATTTATATATAAGACACCTCTTAGGAAGTCTCCGGATCAGTGGCCTACATTCGCGTTTTTACTTCTTTTTTGCTTATAAAATCTCACTTTAATAGCTATGAATAATAGGGGGGTCTGGGGCTCAAGGCTTGTTTCAGCCAGCTTAGAAGAATGATGTCAGTAATGAGTAGCGCCATTTCTTTAATCTAGAATTTTGCTAAAGCAAATATTATTAATTTCTCAGATACCATGGATCACGCTTTACGAGTCTGCAGTGCGCTGCACACTGTGTTGTGTAACGAAATTGATGCAAAATGGACCAGCGAACTGGTGTGCAAAGGAAAAATTCTGGTCGCAATTATGCAGTCCTCACCAAGTCGAGCATTTCTTCCTGCACAGGTAAGTGCATTACACCGATATATAAGTTCTCCCACTTAAGAATCATTGAAGTATAAAACATGTACTAGATGTCACAAATCAGAGCACCAAGCAAGGTCATGCTTGGCACAGAAAACTGATTTCTCGACCTCGAGATAAATGTAGCATTGAGGTGCGCAGTGCATTTCGCTTCCGATACTTGGCCAGGCTGACTGAACTGTCGTGTTTCTCCTCGTCACTGATGAAGCTGGCAACTACCCAATTTTTCTCTGGCCTGCGCGCTCTGGGCCTCTCTCATCCACAAAATTTCGTATTAGGTGTTCAAATGCATCTTCCTGTCGCTTGCATTTTTGCAATGATTTTAAAACAAATTAAATAAAGAGTAAATATTTGTAAAGAGACGAACCAAGCAGAGCTCAAGTATTTTCACGTTCTGGCCACACTGTATATTGTGTTAGACCAACAGATTCCGAATTTCCACTGCGTGCCGTTGAAACATATGGCCACCAGTGCTTCAGCTATCTGCAACAAGCGTTTTCCAAGTGGAAGACATTATAAATAATTGGCCAACGCACGGCCTGCCCGTGCGAAGATGCATTTTTCGCGTGGTTCCCCGCAG